TCTGTTATGATTAAGAGTTTCTGTTATGAATTATGTGTATTGTAATTACATGGGTCTGTTAAGCAGTTTCTGAGTAGTAACAAAAGAAAGATGTTCAAATTTTGATTATTCGAAACAAATTTATTTTCAGCAGTGTAGGAAACTTTCAAGAGTTTAAATTGTTAGGTAACTGACTCACCCTTTCAGAGGGAAAATTAAATAATTAATTGTGTTAAAAAAATCTTCAACATTGTTTAATGCCTGAATGTTAGTTTTTGATATATCCTTCAAATGAAAAAGCAGGAAGTGGTTGATTATGAAGAATGATAAAGATTTGTTCTTAATTTCAAACAGCCTTCACGATTCTAACAGTGCAACACAGTACATGAATAACAGTAATATGCGAATACCCACTTTATTGATCAGTACGTAAAGGGAGGTTTAGAAAAGAAACGTGGAAAAAAAAATTATGATTTATTAAAAGGTTGAAATGTGCTTAAACTGTGTAGTTTCGAATTAAATTATAATTATAAAAATTAATTTATTACAACGATTTATTAAAAAATCAGTTTTAAGATATAAATTATGTTAAGTTTAGATGCTCTTAAACAGTATAAATAGATGAAACCTATGAGCGGCTTCATTGTTAAAAACATCCGAAGATATGCTTATATCGCTCAGCTCTGTTCATATGCATATTGACAAAATCCGTGTTTTGTTTACACATGTTGTGGGAATTACAAGTGCAAAGTGAAACAGTGCAAAATATATTTTCGTCTCATTATTATTTCACGATTATTTAGTTTGTATAATTTTCATGTCATTACCTTTCACTAATTAAGCTACTGCGCTCTCAAATATTATTCCCCATCATTCCGAAATATTTATTCATTGCTAATAAAGTAACAGTTTAATTTTACAATTAAAATTTTGTTCAAGTTCATTGTAAGAGAAGGCCTTGCATTAAAAAGAGTAATAAAAATTTTAAAATATGTCGTGATCGTTGGAAAAAATGATATTCTGTGTATTTAAACTTAAAAAAAGTTGTCTTTCCTCTGCTACGATAATGCATTTTACCAAATCTCCTGTAAGAAGTCTCTCCTCATTTATTTGCTGGTGTCGCCATCTCTTATTGATTATTTGAGTTAAATGAAAATCGAATGACTACTAAGGGTTATTAAGAATGAAATAATTTTACCACTTTACTCTTCCAGTTGAACGAAACTTGCAAATATGTGGAATATAACAGTGTATTTTAAAATAAGTAGCGAAGAACATTTGCTAGTTAAATTCTTTCGTTTCGAATAGCTTTAGACAGTAAATAACCATGCCAAAATAAACTCGATTAGGCTGAAAATAACCTCGATTTAGTAAAAATTAAAAAGCATACAATCTAGCAAAAATTACCGAAAGTTTATTAAAAAAAGATACCGACAAATAATTACACAGTGAGCATATTTTTACTGTATTATTTCTTGCAAATGTAATTATTATTATTTTTATTATTATTTTCGATATCACTGATATCATTATCATTATTATCTAAAATTAGGTTTTTTTTTTTATGTTTCCATTTCGTGAATATTAAAAATTGCTATTCTGCGTTTAAGGGAAATTCGGTTGGTAGAAGTTCGGCAACATACTTGCTAATTCTTTACTTGTTTCTGAGTCATGAGTATGCAAGATTACATAGTTCTATATATTTTTGTTTTACATTTTAAAAGAATACTCGTGTAAATCGCTCTTCTCAATGAAAAGACAGGTAGGTATCTGACCTACTTGCCCTCAAAAATTCACAAGGATTCAAATTTGTAGCAATTTTTAAGTCAGGTAAACTGATCCTGGAAGATTTTATATTACTATAAATATTATTTATCTTTTTATGTTTTGAAAGCAAAATTTGCTAATAAATATGCACATCATACATACAGTTGTTTTCTCTTATAACGATGAGCACATAGCTACTTTACCAGTTCATATGTTTTATTACTAATATCAAAATGCCATAACAATTTAAAATAAATAAAACGCAATAATAAAATGTCCGTGCATCACGAGTAAATATTGTTTCATCTTTGTTACAGAAGATCAACTGAAGAGTTTTTCTTGCTGTCTAAATTCTGTGATAAAAGAAAACTGCTAAAATTCTTGGTTGGTAAATACAGATGAAAGTTACAGAGCTCTGATTGGTTAACTTTTGAACAGCCAAATGTAGAAATGAAATAGCTTATATTTTATTTTGTCTCAATAACAGAATTCTGCAAACAAACGATTAATTTTGGAAGCTTATGTTTACGTAAAGTATACATAGAATGTCTTGCTTTATGAGTATATGTTTTTACAAGGATATATTTTTATACAAGGACATGTATAAAAAAAGACATGTCGCAAAACACTTTCATTATATCACAATATAATTCGACAACAAATATTTTTTTTATTATTTTTTCTGCTAATAGACAGTTTAAATAATCAAAGAAAATTTTAATTTTCATTAGAATTAAATTTAAACAATTAGAAAAGGATAAATTTTAATTTAGAATTTTCATGGTATATTCTACATGAGTAGCTCCATGTATCTATATTATTTTTATTTTCACTATAGAATAAGCATCTGCAACAGTAATTTGAATTTTATTACTTTGGAAAAGCAAATGTAACTTATTTTTCCCATTTATTAACTTATGGTATTGTTATTCAATAACTTTGTGACTTAAATGCATCTTCCATAGAATAAAATTATCCTTTATTGCAATAAAATCTGATATACAAAGTTTCAAAAGGCTAATTGATTCAATTCAAAAATGCTTCTATGCATTTATTCAAAGTAATTATTTTTTAATAACGAAAGTAAACAATTTTCTTTGGACTACTGTGGGAAAAATTTACATTATATTTTATTTTAACATTAAATTACATGATTTGAAATTATATATAATTAAACAGTATGTTTTATTCAAATTTAAGCTAATTAAAAATCCCATTTTAAAACTTAAATATTAAAATAATTAAAAATAATAAATTGCTAAATCATTAAACATAAAAATACTATTGAAATAATTAATTAGTAAAGTAATTAAATGTTAAAATTGATATTAATAATTAAATGTTAAATTTGAAAATAAAATAAAATGTTTATTAATTTATGAAAAAAAAAATATTATGATTAATGATTTTTAGAGGGCATCATATAATGTTACTATGTGCTTAAGTTATTAGTATTTATTACTTTGGAATTTTGGGAATTCTAAATTAAAGTTTAGTTTAATGCTTGTTGTTTTGTCAAAATGCATGTTCAAAATAGATTACATAATTTTGATTATATTAATTTCCGTTATTTTTATTACTTTATCTAATTTTAATAAACGCACTTCAGAATCAAACTTCTGTGCTACCACATTCTGTGTTTTACTTCATTTAAAATGCATGAGGGGCTTAGTTTAAATACTCAATACTTTTAGTTTAAATATTACGATTTGAAATCGTCCATTTGTTCCGCGAAAAACTAACGAAAAACAGAGTAGTGCTGCCATCTAGTAAACAAACGGAAACTAGATAATGTGCAGAGTGAAATTTAGACTTTATTCCTCCAGACTTTAAAACATGTTCTACCTCCTCTCTCTCTCTCTATCTTTTTTTTTTTTTTTTTTTTTTTTTTTTAATCTTAAAATATGTAAAATTACAATTTAAAAACTAAAATTTAATCAGTTACAAAACGGCGAATTAACTCAATTATTTGGTTATTCATTTTGTGAAATAAATTTTGAATGTTTTCTGACATTGTTTAAAAGAATCGTCGAGAATATTCTGTCATATTTTGAGAATGAAATTATTTTGTGTCTACTATTCTTTCCCCTCCCTTCCACATAAAAAAATCATAAAAATGCTTTTATTGGGCTCATCAAATCTCATATATATTTCAAAATTCCACCCTTATGATACCGTTCTGAAAATATTCAAAATTCGACACTAATTTAAGACCTCCTTTGAAGATTAAAAAGAAGTAATTGAACCCCGAAATAAGAATTCACATATAGGTAAACTCTTCATTTCTGAAGATGTTTCTGAATTGTTGTTTCTGAAGATGTCAAAAGGCTTGGAGATAAAGCTGTCTTACTTGTGAGCTGCGAGCTTGAAAAGTTGAAAGCGTTCTCTAGAAAGATGATGAAATGATCTAAATTCCATACATTTTAGCAAAACCAAGAAAATATGTTTAAACAGAAAATTTTAGGCATAAATGATAATTTACCTTCATGTGTTTCTCGATTTTAGCATGTGCTTATAAGACAGATTTATTTTTTTAAGATTTATTTTTCTTATAAGACAGATTTATTTTTCTAAAGGAGGTGAACAAAAAAAGAGGAGTTAAGTCTGACTTAATCTTAGCCAGACAAATTATCGTTAAAACTAAATTTGCAACTAAAACTCAAAATTAACCAAACTAACTGCCAGTGATTGAGAGATTTCAAATGAACAGAAAGTTAACGGTAGCACAATCAAAATGATAACTGAGAAGTTTTGCATTCGTTACAAATCAGTTTTCCTAACGTCTAAACTGCGAATAAGTGAAAAACACTTACCAGACTTTGAAAGTTAACATCAACTCGCAATGTATTACTCATAGGTATTAACTACAGAGATAAACCACGCTTGCTGAATTCAGATTAAATTCCTATTTAAAGTTAAGTTAATTTGAATTCTGGTGAAGTTAAACGGACAAATTGAAAGCATTGAATGGAATTAACATGAAATAACTGGTTAATTAAATAAAGCTTATGTTGTATCCGGAGCAATATGGTAGTAGTAACATGTCATTATTCATTTGAGCAAATTATTACAGTATTCGTCTAACTGTAAGACTATATGTATGAAAATGTTTTGTTTATTTGAAGAACCAAATTATACTAGTTACATTCACTAAATGAAATAAAGATTAATTTAAAAAAATCTCCTAATAAAAATAATATACATTTGTTTAGAACATATTAATATTTATTCATATAACCTCAAATAATTAGCTTTCATACTAATTTTCTTTTTTTGCACAGCGGACAGAGAATTTATGAAACTAGACGTTGTACTCAATCTTCGGAGCGGATCCAAAGTTCTGGGGATAAACGACTCGTCTCCCGATGTCAACAATTTGATGAACATCGTAGAGTGCAGGCCCCAATAAGGGATTTAATTTCTACAAAATACAATTTACCATAAATAATCCCGTAGATATGAGCATACAGTTTAAGCATATACATAAAATACAAGTACAAGTACTAATATTAGGAGTTATATAGTTTAATTTTGTAATTATAGGTTTATAATTTAATTTAAGAAATTGAGCTAAAATTTTAGAAAACAAAGTTACAAGATTAGCTTTTTATTAAACGCTTTTCGATTTCTTTCTTACCTCTTTTGGTGATTTGTTTTGTAAAACACCACACAAGTTATTTATAAACAAATTTATACGTACTGTGCTTTATGTACAATTTTATTTATATTCTGTAGGGGGATATACATCATGAAAACATTCAAAATGCAACATATTTTGAGACTGCGACTCTGAAAAATAGCGACATATAATAGTTTAAATTTTATGTCATTTACCAATTCGGATATGAGAAGTACATATTCTAGCATGTTTCCAGAATTGAGTAGCACTCACATAATTGAAGTATATTTATTTTCATGGCATAATTCGATCAGTAATTTATTTTGTGGATTAAGAAAAATTTTCGTAAATTAATTTTTAATAGGAGTTTTCGTTTTTAATGAGTTTAGATAATTCAGGTATATATTCGCGTTTAAAAAGTTATGGCAAACAAAATATATTTACATATATTTGTAATCAATTATGCATATACATTTTGTACTTTCCGAAAAAGAAAATTAAGCTAAATACACCAAAAAAACTTACATTTATAAGGATATAAAGCCATTTGATCTTAATAAAAATCTCTGCAGTAACTTCAGATGCTTTCGATAATATGGGGAAGTGAACCACAGCAGAATAACTCTCGCATGCTTGACGGGTCCGTGACACATAGCCGAAAACCTCTTAGCCGACGGGACACTTAACCGACACCAGTTAGCCGACAGGACATTTAGCCGACACGGACACTTAGCCGACAGGTCATTTAGCCGACAAGACATTTAGCCGACAAGGACACTTAGCCGACAGGACATTTAGCCGACACAGACAGTTAGCCGACACGGAAAGTTAGCCGACAGGACATTTAGCCGACACGAACAGTTAGCCGACAGGACATTTAGCAGACACGGACAGTTAGCCGACAGGACATTTGGCCGACACAGAGAGTATATTTAGAGCTACGGGACACTTACCTGTCAAGACATTTAGTCAACAGGTTACTAAGCCGACAGTAACGTTTAACTGACACGTACCCAAAAATTATTTAAATTATGAATTACAAAATTTCTCGACTACTCCACAAGTTCAATATATAAGTCATTTTTTCACCCATCACTAAAATTCATTTTTCGATTCTTAAAAATATCATATGTGCTATTAATTTTTTATTGTGTTAATTTAGCATTGTTTGATATGTATCGTGCTGTTTGGTGTACATTGGCCAAATTGAAAAAGCGCTGAAATTTCTCGAAAATGAATAAAACAAAACCTTAAAGAATATTTTACTTCTAAACTAAACATTATGCACTAGTTTAGGGCTAATAATTCACCTAAGTAAGTATTTAAGCAAGAGGCGTGGTTAATAAAATGTTACAAAATTTTATCTCAAGAATGGTGGCATGAACTGCAAACTATAGAGGTCACAAATAATTTATACCTTTGCTTGTCTTAAAAATTCACTTTTTTTAAAATTATTTTTAATAACAAAATAAAATATATTTGCTAAACTAACTCTCACCGCTATATGTTTCCATAAAAAGTATAATTGAAGGATAACAATAATTTTTATTGCATTGCATTTTGCGCATTTTTTTCAAGCGTAATTCTTGCATAAATTTCTTTACTTTAGTAAAACGGTAAAAATTCTAAACGCAAAACTTATGAACTTATTTTTGTGTATAAATAAAGTAAAATTAAATAATACTGATAGCATATGATGCTTTGAAACAAATAAGGTAAAATTAAACAAGATCTGATAATTTTCATTGATTTTATGAGCATTTTCAGGCAGTAGTTTTTAAAATTATTATAACATAACAAAACGATCATTTATTTGATTATATGATCATTAATTATTAACATTACAAGATGATTATTTATTTTAGCAATTCATAAAATTCGGAGCATAAACGTTTTTGAGTGTAATGACAAAAAAAAAAAGATAAACTCTGGAAGCACTCAGCAATATAATTTTATATGACGCCCAAAGGAGCGTTTTTGTAACATTTTGCGTGTTACCTTTATTTATTAAACATCATGTTCTTCGCAAGTAAACCACATAAAATTCAATTCAAGAACAATATCACAAAATATTTGAAAATGGCATATCTTTAGAATTTCCGCGTTGGAGATAAAAATGTTATTTTCTGTACAGGGTTGCCATTGCTTGCTTTGAACTCGTTGAGTTTGTTAATCAAAACTTCATTAAAGTTACAAAATATGAAATAGATTAAAACAAATTCGAAATTAGGCCTTGCAGGTGCCCATGTTCGGGTGGAGGATTACGTTATTCAAACTTTTATGGTTCTAAATTCTGTTGTTTTTTTCACAGTGCGAGAGAAACATACATGCATTCATGCAGATTCTTCATTATTTAATTTCTTTAAATATAATACAGGGCGTTAATATTTGGTTAATATTGGTTAATATTTGGTTAACAGTTTGCAAAGTGAAACGGACATTCATAGTGAAACAAAACAAAATACCGTTTCGAAACTAATAGCTTTTCTGAGCTGTCGCCTCTTTGGGCTGATAAAATAAATTAACAATAAATAAGAAAACTTATGTAGAACTAGACATAAATTAAAAAAATAATCACTATAAAATACTAGCACAATTAATTATTACAATCAAATACAATTTTTAACTTTATAATAAATGCATAAAAATTATTAAAGTGTTAAAAGTGTTAATCACTATGATGTATTATGAAACATCATTGAAGTAAAACTTCTTTGTAGAATATTATGCTTTAATATTCAGATATAATTTTAAAAAAGCAGTACAAATAAGAATTTTAAGCAAAGACTTTCAAATTTAGTATTTTTTACTTATTTATACCAATAAAAGCATAAAAATTGTAAGAGAAAATTTCTTGCTTGAATTTTTCTATTATTTCAGATTTAAAATATTACTTTTAAAAGAAGGAGATACAAATTTCCTTTACAGCATAGGAAAAGCTACAAAAATATCCAGACCTGAAAGCATGCAATAGCTTTATAATTACCAATTCAGAAGTCAAACAACAAAACAAACAACAGCTTTATAATTATTTAGAACATCAATTATGCTTGATAAACATGCTAAATTTTTAAAAATCAATCTCAATTTCAAAAATAAAAATATCTAAAAATTCTAAAAATTTGTGAAATGAGGTGCTATCCCCAGTTTTTTCTTGAAAATTATACGCGCTGCATACTCCTCCGGATATGGGCAAAGGTGACAGCCGGCAATACGCCAAGGCAAGGGAGAAAACCCATTTGGGTTGGTCTATTTCTTATAAGGTACATGGATACATATCAAACAATGCTAAATTAACGCAATAATTAAAAGTATACATGAGATCTTTAAGAATCGAAAAATAAATTTTACTGATAGTGAAATATAACTTAAATATTGAACTTATGGAGAAGTCGAGAAATTTTGTAATTGATAGTAAGTTTGAATAATTATTGGGTACGTGTCAGCTAAACGTTACTGTCAGCTTTGTTTCCTGTGGATTAAATGTGTTGACAATTAGGTAAGTGTCCCGGAGCTAAATGCCCTGACGGCTAACTCTCTGTGTCGGCCAAATGTCATGTCGGCTAACTAACTGTCCGTGTCGGCCAAATGTCCTGTCGGCTAACTGTCCGCGTCGGCTAACTGTCTGCGTCGGCTAACTGTCCACGTCGGCTAAATGTCCTGTCGGCTACTGTCCGTGTCGGCTAAATGTCCTGTCGGCTAAGTGTCCTTGTCGGCTAAGTGTCTTGTCGGCTAAATGACCTGTCGGTTAAGTGTCCGTGTCGGCTAAGTGTCCGTGTCGGTTAAATGTCCTGTCGGCTAAATGTCCTGTCGGCTAAATGTCCTGTCGGCTAAGTGTCCCTGTCGGCTAAATGTCCTGTCGGCTAAGTGTCCATGTCAGCTAAGTGTCCCTGTCGGCTAAATGTCTTTGTCGGCTAACTGGTGTCGGTTAAGTGTTCTGTCGGCTAAGTGGTTGTCGGCTAAGTGTCCGCGACCGATGCTTGACAACTTTTTTTTTTCCTTTACTGTAGTTTTTTAGCCATTTAAGAGTAATTGGAGAGGGTACTTAGGGAGAGATATAAAATAACAAAAGGTTTTTTTTTTTTTTTTTTTTTTTTTTTTTTTTTTTTTTTTTTAAAGCTGAGATCTGCCGAATATCAGGTAACCAGTATGCGAGAGCAACACTTTCTATGTATACATCCACCAGTTTTCCTCTAAGTGGACGTGAACAATAGACCATAAGAATCATTATTTAGAAGAACGATGTAACATTTAGTCACACAGTTTGTCAAAGGCTTTATCGGATAAAATTTAATCTATCCCATTATCTGAATTAATGCTCAGTTTTTGATGATAAATTTTTTTAAAGAGTTCATACAGCAGGTCGGTTCAGGTCAATGAATGGCAACTGTAAGTGGACAGTAAAAGGCATAATCGTCAGGTGAGCCTTCAAATCCGAAGATACATCTAACTTGTATTTAAGATGCAAAAATGCTGGAAATAAGCTGGAAAGATGCCATGCCCAGTAATAAAATTGGAGTTCTTTGCAATTGGGTCATCAATACGATAGCTAATGTTACCATAGTCCGAAAAGATCTGTGCAATAACTGAAAGGTGAACTCATCTAGGCGTGTCCCTGTATTACCCTAAAGACTATCTACGATGATAAAATCGACATCGATGGAAGTTAGATAATAAAAGCCTGTTTGGAAGTTCACCCTATTATCACACGTCATATACAGTAGATATTACAGACCCTTGTATACTCGGATTAGACTATATAAGGAAATATACAGTGGCGGCCAAAATTGTGGACACTTTTG